ATAATTTGAATTTTTATGACTCTCAACAAATTACTTTAAAACTAAAATAGGAAAATAAAAAGTATACCAAATAAATAACAAGAATATTGCGATGAATAATTGCTGAAATAAATTTAAAAATTATGAGTGGTTAATATTATTCTTGTCAATAATTTATGAGATTTCAGGGTAAATAACAATTAAAAATTGATTTTAAAATTATGCATAATTTATAAATATAAATCAGTTTGTGAAATCTAACTCTTAATACAAAATGGTTTTTAGAATAACGAATGATCATGATAACAACAGTACTTTAATTTTGAAAAAAGTCTTGTGCATGAAAAATCAGTCTTTATTTTTGAAAAAATTATGAATATTATCAGTATTCAAACACTAAGCCCAAAATATTTAATTGCAAATAATTGCTTTCTGGCAATCATTAAGTAATGACTACTAGCTGGTTATTATTATGTTTGGAAAACAAATGATAATAAAGTCGTGTAGACGTGAAGATTCAACCGCAAAAACACAGAAAGTGAGATATCAAATTTCTCACAATAACAAATATTTGCATATTTTATCTACTGACAAAACCATGTAAACACTTGCTTTACTATTTAAATTCAGTGTTTACTGTTATTTTAGTCAGCTGTTAATAACCAATCTTCATTAATAATCAAATATACAATCAACAATTAAATACCAAAAGAAACATGCCAGAAAACAAAATCTAGAAGAGAAGTTGCTAAATTACTTAATTTGATAATTCATTTACTATTAAACAAGTTAATTAATATTTGATAGTTTAATCAATATGCATAGTGTAATATGATTTAATTAACTAATCTATTTATTTCAATTAGCGAATCGCATTTTATAAAAAATCAATGACTTATTCAAAAAAATGTAAAAATTGAAAAGCAGAAAATATGCGAATGAAAAAATGATTAGAAATGAATTCATCACACATATCGTCGAGACATATATGATGAATTTGCAACTCGCTGTCATACCATTCACGTAAAAGTTTGTTAAAGAATATAAGCTGAAAGTTAAGCTAGCTTAAAACGTGAAATCTGAGAGCAGTTAAGAAAGTTATACTTTCATGATATTAAATTTTAATAATTACCAAAGCTAATCAAAAAAAAAGCTCATTACTCGAACAAAAAAGATTTATTCTTTACAAATGATTGTTGTGATATATTTTTATTAATTCAAGCACTTTTAGCAAAATAATATTTTTCTAAAAATATTTTGCCAATAAAATCAATCAAACGTACCAAAATTATCATTTTAACATAAAAGGTGTTAGTGACATAACACAATGTTGTGATAGATCAAATATGAAAAATCAAAAAAGTCATTGAACATATTATTCAAATAGATAATATTTGCATTCAAAATTTGTAGAGTTATATAGCAGAAATTATATGAAATATAATCAAAACAATGGATAAAAGTAATTTTTTTATATTTCAATAATTTCCGCTATATAATTTTACTAATTTTGATTGTAAATATTATCTATTGGAATAATATGTTTATTGACTTTTCTGATTTTTCGTATTTGATCTATCACAATATTGTGTTATGTCACTAACGTCTTAAATACTTTAAATTATAAAAACTTACTTACTAATTTTAAGCATAATTTTTTCTTAAAAAATCAGAAAAAAATGAACAAAACGTATTTTGCAAGACTAAGCAATTGCAAAATGGACTATTTAGACATAGCAATTTTCGCTTCAATTATTCGCTATTTAGAATTGAAAGGTGGCATTTGAATTGAAAGTAAGCATTGTTTGACAAAAGTTTACCCACCAAAAATTTCAATTTGATAGAAAACAATTTTTGAACTAAAAAAAAGACAAATTTTTAAAAATTCGAAAAAAGCAATTCAAACATGTCAAAATTAACAAATTAACTTTGTCAAAAAAAGAACCAAAAATTAGCAAAAAAATCAAAAATTTAGAAATTTTCTAGTCAAATACGATAAACTAATAAATAATTAATATCTTTTAATTGCTTATAAAAATTAGTTCTGCAAAAGTTTTGGCTTCAAAAAATTATTATTGTAAGATTCTCCCAGAAGTTTTATTTTATGAATACAAATAATACTGATAATAATTTAAGAATTTTTTGTGAGAAAAAATGTTTTTCTAATTTTTTATCAGTAAGCGAAATCTCGCAAAGTATAGCTAACTGATAATAGCAAAGAAATAATAACAGCCATTGCTGATTCACAAATTTTTAATGTATGCGTACAAAAGTATAAAAGCAAACTTTTTTTTCTATAAAATTTAGCAAAATAAACTAACATATTTTGATGAAAAAATGAATTTTGCATTTAAATTACTGAAAGATTGTATGCATTCAGGCAATCTAGCACAATACTGCAAAAAGATTTTAGAAATTTTTTGAAGAAAACATTTCACTTCAATTTTTATCTTTTCATTTTACTTACATTCTGTGAGGAATTGAGGACAGAGCAAAAACTTGAAAAATTATAAGAATTTTTAATTTTTCTGACATTTTAAGTGTTATTTCTATGTAAAATGAAGTGAGTGTATGCGCACAATCAAATTTATATAAAATGATAAAACAGAAAATTATCATTTGATTGAGTATGACATTTTAAAACAAATATTCAAAAGTTATAACAAATATTTCAAGTACAAATATTAAGTAAAACAGAAATTATTTTATTTAAAAAAATTTAATATTTAAGAATAAATAAGTTTCATTGTATAAAAAGTATAGATCAATCAGTAATTTGGAGCAAAAATGAATTCTACTTGAAAGAACTAGTTTAATTTTATATTCAGTTAATAGTTTACGGAAATTATAATGGATGTTGAATTTACTTCACGTATTTATATGCCTTCTTGATCAATTTATTTCATGCATTTTTATGATAGAAAAACTACAGTAAATTAATATTTCCTAAAATTATTACACAAAATTTGTGAAAAATTAAAGCAAAAAAACCTTTAAACTGTTATTTGTTTTTTTAAGAAAAAATAAAATCAAATTTATATTCTTTGAAAACGAGTATTTTCTTCAAAATTATCTAATTTCTAATATACATATTTGATCTGAAAGCTCTGTACAATGGTAGTAAATAAACGAGAAATACCAAAGTTTTACGTAAAATTAAAAAATTTAGTTCAGTTGCGTAAAAGAAGAAAATTGGACATACTTTATAGCAAGCAAGTGAAAACAACAAATACTTTTTGCACACGTGCTAACATCACTTTGAATGAGTAAAACAAGTTAGTTAAACTTGAACTAAACTAGCAGAAAAATGATTAAGTGAGGCATTCACTGCTTTTCTAAAATTACTGAAAAAGTTAGAACTAAAAGTTGCTATATAATATTGGATATTTTTTGCAACTTCTCAATTTCCAACAAAAATATGAAACAAATCTGAAGCGAAATTAGTAATAAGCAATGCGTGTACTAATTTAATCTCAATTATTGTTGTAATATTTAAACATAATTTGCTTTGTTACTTTTTAAATGAGTTTTTGTCACTTAATAATAAGTATAATTCCAAAGATTTTTTCATAAATTCTTACATTTCAAGTTAGTTTAAGACTTTTATTCTCTAGTGCATTTATACTTACGAATTTATTAATAGCATATGTAAATCTTTATTTAGTTAAAAAATTAGAATGCCTAAAATAGCAGTAATACTAATG